ATGGTGTAAAATTTGCAAATGAACTGGAGATCAAAAGTTTCTCTTTGGCGTCTGGTCCTCAAGTTTTTTTGCTGTAAGATGGCTACCTTTACATCTGCTATTGTGTGGCCAGGGAGGTTGAAGTGATCTCCTACAGGTTTTTGTATATTGCCATTCCTGATATCTGACTTGTGTCCATTTATCCTCTTGCGTAGTGACTGTCCAGTTTGGCCAATGTACATACTTCATTTGTTATTTTAGTTCTGGAGCTGATTGTTTTATTACATGGCATATTTCTAATAAACACGGTTTATTTACTGTGAAAACTTAAAATATTTTCTTTCTTTAGTTGATGAAGGGGTAGAAATGTAATCTGCCAGCTTTCTTGAATGTATATTTACTTTAATTGCAGTCCAATATATTCCATTATTTATAAATCACGTTACTTAATTACACTTGCTTTATTCTTTCTACAGAATATAAAACGAAGAAGCACGTGATACTAAAGCTTTCTACATTCAACATCATAAGGATCTCTCTTAAAGAATTGCTGTAGGACTAACACTGATTATAATTTGTCTTAAACATAATGTGGTGAAACAGAGGAACAGAAGTTGTCCATCTTTGTGCAGACTAAGGAATTACAATGTTTATTTTGTGAGCTAAAACAGTTTTGCAGTGAACTGAGCATCTGAAAATGCGGCCATGGACTGGTTCCTGGCGTTGGATTATGCTCATCCTCTTTGCCTGGGGGACCTTGCTATTTTATATAGGCGGACACTTGGTACGAGACAATGAACACCCAGATCACTCCAGCCGTGAACTATCCAAGATACTTGCAAAGCTTGAACGTTTAAAACAGCAAAATGAAGACTTAAGGCGGATGGCAGAGTCTCTCAGGTAAGTTTAAAAAAATTATTCAGAAAACCTGTGGGTGATGTCTCAGAAAGTTTTTTGAAGTTTTTTTTTTATCCCATTGTTTATACACATTTGCCAGATTAAAACCGATTTCATACAAGCATTTTTTTTCTAGTTATTCCTCTATGCACATGGTGGCATGGTTTATTGTGAATGTTCAAAAAATTTAATTGTGTGACAGTTACTATACATGATGATGATGTATGACAGTATCAAGACAAATGTAATCTATTTTAATGCAGACTTTGCCCCAGAAGGACATTTTATAGACTATATATGTAACCCTTCTGCCAGATGGAGCCAGCAGCAACAAGGGCCAGGTTCAGTATCTTGGGGTTCCTTTTCAACAATACAACAAAAAACCATCTTGAGCCCCCGCCCAGTGACCTGGGACAATTACACACCACCCCCGGGCGCCTCTAAGAGGCAATACTTCCCATCTCACAAGCACAGAGTCTGAGTGTAGCAAAAACTTTTAATAAAAGGAGGGAATTAACTCAGCCTGCTCGCCAAGATGTCTTCACGCTCCCCCCCCCCCCCACCACACACACTTAACACAGCTTTCAGGTTTTAGTTTTAGTAAAGGGAAATCATGCCTCACCAATCTACTAGAATTCCTTGAGGGGGTCAACAAGCATGTGGACCAAGGGGATCCAGTGGATATAATGTACTTAAATTTTCAGAAAGCCTTTGACAAGGTCCCTCACCAAAGGCTCTTACGCAGAGTAAGCTGCCACTGGATAAGGGGGAAGGTGCTCTCATGGATTGGTAACTGATTGAAATATAGGAAATAAAGGGTAGGTATAAATGGTGAGTTTTCAGAATGGAGAGAGGTAAATAGTGGTGTCCCCCAGGGGTCTGTTCTACGACCAGACCTATTCAAGATATTCATAAATGATCTGGAAAAGGGGGTAAACAGTGAAGTGGCAAAATGTGCAGATGATACAAAATTACTAAAGATAGTTAAGACCCAGGCAGACTACAAAGAGCTACAAAAGTATCTTTCAAAACTGGGTGACTGGGCAACAAAATCTTTCAACAAGATGAAATTTAATGTTTATAAATGCAAAGTAATGCACATTGGAAAGCATAATCCCAACTATATCTATAAAATGATGGGGTCTAAATTAGCTGTTACCACACAAGAAAGAGATCTTGGAGTCATTGTGGATAGTTCTCTGAAAACATCCACTCAATGTGCAGCGGCAGTCAAAAAAGCAAACAGAATGCGGGAATAATTAAGAAAGGGATAGATAATAGGACAGAAAATATCATGTTGCCTGTATATAAATCCATGGCATGCCCACATGTGGAATACGGTGTGCAGATGTGGTTGCCTATCTCAAAAAAGATATATTGGAATTGGAAAAGGTTCAGAAAAGGGCAACAAAATGATTAGGGGTATGGAACGGCTTCCGTATGAGGAGAGATTAATAAGACTGGGACTTTTCACCTTGGAAAAGAGACAGCATGGGGAAATGTGATTGAGGTATATAAAATCATGACTGATGTCGAGAAAATAGATAAGGAAGTGTTTACTACTTCTCATAAAACAAGAAATAGGGGTCACCAAATGAAATTAATAGGCAGCAGGTTTAAAACAAATAAAAGGAAGTATTTCTTCACACAATGCACAGTCAACCTGTGGAACTCCTTGCCAGAGGATGTTGTGAAGGCCAAGACCATAACAGGGTTCAAAAAAGAACTAGATAAATTCATGGAGGATAGGTCCATAAATGGTTATTAGCAAGATGGGCAGGAATGGTGTCCCTAGCCTCTGTTTGCCAGAAGGTGGGAATGAGCGACGGGGATGGGTCACTTGATGATTACCTGTTCTGTTCATTCCGTCTGGGGTACCTGGCACTGGCCACTGTTAGAAGACAAGATACTGGGCTAGATGGACCTTTGGTCTGACCCAGTAGAGCTATTTTTATGTTCTTATGTTCTTAGTGATATCAGCTGTTAGTGGGGGAGCTCACTGTTGGTGCACACTGGGCAGTCTCTTGCAATAGAGACACTGTCCCAAAGTAGGTCTAATACTTAGACCTAGGTATCAGTGATTTCAGCTCTGCAGCATGTAACAAGACTTTCAATTGAGTCTAAATTAACTCTTTTATTATGCCATGGAGAGAAGAAGGGTCTAATGTCCCCTGCCTAGCGAGTGCTGTTCAGTTGAGGGTGAGTCTCTCAATTGGGGTATGCCAGGTACTATTCTGCTGCCTTCAGTTCACACAACAAGGATAACAACCCTTTATTACTTCTGCCCTAATAACAAGGATACTGGGGATCCAACACCAGGCACAAGTGATCATTTGGGCAAGCAGTCCCATTATGCTGAGCACCTAGGCAGGGTGGGGGTGTCCCTGCAAACGAGATCAGCTTTGAAGTCGTCTTCCACAGCTCACCACTAGATGTCAGGGGAGAGCTCATCCAGACTCTGCTTACAGTAGAAAATTAACTTATTTTAAAATGTAGAATGTTAACTATCAGGGCCGGCTCCAGGCATCAGCTAAAGAAGCAGGTGCTTGGGGCGGCCAATACCAAGGGGCGGCACTCCGGCCGCTATTGGGGCGGCAGGTCCAGGTCTTCGGCGGCAATTCGGCAGCGGGTCCCTCAGTCCTTCTGGGAGTGAAGGACCTGCCGCCAAAGAGTGGAGTGGCGTGATCGTGCTGCCACGGTTTCTTTTTGCCCCTTGGGGCGGCAGACAACCTGGAGGCGACTCTGTTAACTATGTTATAACAAAGATGCCTTCTCTTAAAGATATTTTTCCAAGCATTTGGATTGCTTGTAATTGACATTGACGAGATGTACTATACTGAAGAAATGTTAGTGTTCACATTTTAGAAAAGTAGCAGAATTAATTTGTAATTTTATTAATCTGTGAACAAATTGTGCATAGCATATAAAGTACAGAGAATTCAATACTTTTGTCATCTTTATGATTGAATGGAACAGTGTGTGCAACATGCTGTCAGCTTTAAAGAAATGAAGTGATATTCCTACCCTTAAGCCCTGTTTATACCACGGACATTTTTCAATAATGTCCAGCTGTTACTACCATGTGGAGCAGAATGCTAGTGGAGACTAACTGCTGGCTACCACCATTTTAACATTGTCAGTTAGAGCTGCTTCAAGTAAATCTAATTATTATGGCGATTACAGTAACACCAGCCAATGACATGTCTACATTAGACACCTAGCATTGCTAACCTTGATAGAGCTGAACTGTGGATGGGAAACCTTTGCTTTGTTGCTAAGTTTAAAGAAATACTTTTAAATAGTGCAAAAAATCCTTTTTAGAATTAAACTATCATCTAATATTTTTGCACACCTCTTCACCTTACTGGGCACAGTCAGACCCTATTAATATTAAGAGATTATACAAGCATTGAGGGAGAAATTCCAGGACTGGATAGATAAATGTTTAGAGTGAAACAGGGAGGATTTCCATGCCTCTGGTGAAGTTCTTCCCCCTCATTGAATACTGCTAAACTCGTCCTATGAAAGATAACTTATTATTGAATCACAAAGAATTATGTGATGTAGCTTTTCACCTTTCAAATCCTGCAGATTATACCAAACAGCATTTGTCATTTCACAATATTTTCCAAAGGAAAGATGCCTCTTTGCACTCCTACAAAGGCATTATCCTCCTGACAATTACATTTCACAGTTACTTTAAATTGGACTATTTACAGTCATCCGAGATAGTCTATTAAATGATCTGTAATATTTTTCTAAACTCTGTTAATGTATGCTGGTAAATAAATTGACTAAATGTTTTAGTATATTTTTGTTGACATAATATTGACATATATTGGGAGTATCTTCCCATTTTAGAGAAAAAGGAAAGACCTTTTCGTCAGCCACATTTTAAATATTGTCTAAACAAGCTTAATGAAATAGGACTTTCTATTAGTCCTATGTTAAAATGTATATATTATAGTAAAGTGCAGTGCCAGAATGAGAATCTGAGAAGAAATAATAATAAAGATTTTAAGGCCAAAAAGGATCAATATATCCATCTAGTCTGAACTCCTGCATAGCACAAGCCATAGAATTTTACTCTGTAATTCCTGCAATGGAGAGAATTATTCATCCCTATCATATAAGTGAATAACTATTGAGCCCAATAACTTGTGCTTTAACCAGAGTTATATTTTAGAAAGACATATAATCTTGATGCAAAGACTCCAACTGATGATGAATTTATCACTGACCTTGGTAAACCTTCTTTTGATTAACTCACTTAAGAAGTATCAGAGGGATAGCCATGTTAGTCTGGATTTGTAAAAGCAGCAAAGAGTCCTGTGGCACTTTATAGACTAACAGACGTATTGGAGCATGAGCTTTCGTGGGTGAATACCCACTTCGTCGGATGCATGCTGCTTTCACTTAAGAAGTTATTTCCAATTTGAATTTTTCTAACTTCAGCTTCTATCCATTGGATTTTGTTATGGCTGCTAGATTAAAGGGCCTCCTTATGTCAGATATCTTCTTGCTATGTAGGTATTTATAGACTAATCAAGTAACTGTAATTGCTGTAATTTGATGCTATAGGTTGGTTTGCTCTCCTTAGAATTTCTGATGTTGCAAGAAATTCTGAAGCGAACACTGAAGATCTTTTGCAGGAATTTACTTTGGAATGAGTAGTTCTTATCGGTTTCTATTGTAGAGTTCCATGACTCTGCGCCATAAAAAGAAGACACATGTTGCTGGTGTTAAAATTTTATATATTTGTGTAAATGTCAGTCATGTTACTTTTCAGGTTGATGAAAGTGGTTTATTTCTTGCTTGACATCTAGCATGGTGCAACGATCATTGCACATCTCACTCCCTAAATAGGTAAAATGACTTACTTCTAGTGTTTCTCTGTCTACTCTCATAGTTGCTTTGGGGATATTGATAGCCATATATATTTGTCTCCCCCTTATTGATGAACAAACCAACTTGTTTTGCTATGATTGCAAAAAGCTGGGTCT